AGCAAAGTGTTGCTTGACACAAGCCCAAAGACTGGAGTGGTCAGGGAGTAGTAAGACCAAGGAAAAAGACCTCCGAGGCATGCTTTTCTCAGGCTGTTTTTCAGGATTCTTGCTGCTCTGAGGAAGTCAAGCATATGCCATATGCTCCTATCAGAAAATGTGTGGCAGGCGGCAGCATCGGGGATTGTCCTAGGGTTGGCCTATTGAGATTTGTTGAAGATGCTTCTTCTCTGGATGCCTCCTTTTCCCTGTCTCCCTGGAGTCAGTCTGTTGGAAATGTAAAGTGTCTAGGTTCATCATTATTCCCTCCAAGGTTTGTGCAATCCAAATGCAGACGGTGTATCTTATGAATGTATATGTTTTAAAAAGATAAATAAAAAGGAGATGTTGAAGCAAAGTCAGAGGAACCATTCAGTATTGGAAGGCAGCTGGGCAGCTACCATGGGAAGGTGAATGGAAGCCTTATTTCGATTTTGTACCCAAGTGATCTCACCACATATTGATGGCCTTAAAGTTAGCATGTATTCTATATTTGATTTTTTTTTCTACCATCAAGGAGCCAAGAAGGACTTATGATGAAAGAGAAGAAAGGAGAATAAATTGGGGAAAGAAAATCTATCTATCTATTATCTATCTATCTATCTATCTATCTATCTATCTATCTATCTATCTGCAATGAGAATAAATGGATTTAGAAAATAATGTCTGCCTGGAGAACACTTACTCATCTTTCATGGCCCAACACAAGGGTCACTATCTCGACAAAGCCTTTTCTGACTCCCTCGCAGAAAGAATTGGTTACTCTTCCGTCTTTGCCTTACTCTACCTCTAACAGAATCTATTCTAGCATCTAATTTATATTGGCATCCTTAGTATTTGTTATGTCTTCATTCCCAGAATAGATCCTTAAAGGCAGAGCGGGTTCCTGTCTATCTCAGTCTCTCCAGTACATAAAATAGTGTCGGCCACATATTAGACACTCTGTGAATAGTAAAGTGTAAAGCTCAAAGGATATTTCCATAGCGCCATGGTGAAGGCAGAGCATAAAGTGCTGTGAAAGTTAAGAAGTGTATCTTTAGAACACTCTTATCTTTGCCTCTTTCAAATGCTCCTTCTCCTCCAATTGCCACATCTCTGAGAAGTTGCCTGTGGGCCAAAGCCCCAGATTATGGAATTATAACTTCTCCTTCCTAAGGACCCTGTGACCCAGAAATGTCTCCTCTTCTGCCTCTATTCTTTCTTACCAAGAATTAAAATCTTTTTCTTCCTTTGAGTTCTTCTTGTTTTCATTTGAAATGATAGTAGCAGCTTAACCCAGATAAGTCTCTATTTGGAGAAATTTCAAGAAAAATGATAAAGGGCAAAGAACCTGCCAAATCCAATCCCTTCCAGGGAGAGACTTGCAAACATGACTTTGAGTCACATTGGTCTTCTTTCCTCTGGCCTGGACACCCTTATTAAATAAATTTGCAAGATAAAATTTTTGTTCAGTGTTTACACAGTTCATCTACCTGTCTTCCCCACCCCTGACTTCTTAACCCAGAGTGCTGCAATTCTAGCCATTTTGTATGACATGGCTGTGGGCATTTTCTTCCTCCTGGGGAGAACAAAAAGAACTCCTTTTAAGAGTGATCCTCTCATCATAATTCCCACATGATTCTCAAAGGTGTCTTAAATCAAAGTAAGGTTAAGAAAGCTGTACCAACAAAAGACTCTTAACGCCATCTCAGAGAGGTGTGAATCAATCTTACAAGCTTTCCAGAGAAAAGCTTTTTTCAGTTAACCCTTTACCATCTTTGCTGCCCTAATCTCTCTCTCTTTTTTCAATCTGTAAATATTCTTAACTTCCATTAGTATTTTCAGAGGTGTATTTTCCACCAAAGTGTATCCAAGTCACAGTAAGAATATTCCTACCTCTTTATAATACAGTGTCACCAATATTATTCACTGGCAATTATGTCAGTGGCTGAATACTATTAACATACTGGGAACAAGCTGTAAAGGTCCCGATTCTTAATTCCCCATAAAAAGTATTTCACAGTCTGCAACTGAAACCCTAGCAGAAAGAAATATAAATGTAAGACTATACAAGAAAGGATTAAGAAATCACAAAATCTAATACCTGAAAAGACACTCAGAAGTTTTTTCTCTGTCATCCACTGTTGGAATTCTTATTAAGGTTTCCACATTTAATAAACTTTCATTTAATTATTATTTGATGACCTCCAATGTCAAGGAATTCATTATCTCTCAAGGTATTTTACTCTCTTGTTATAATCCCCCAATTCCTAGGAGATTCATTCTCAAAGTTAGGTAAAATTTAACTTCTATTTAGATGGCTTGAGAAATCTGGGCAACCTCACTTCCTCATATATCTAGACTGACTTCCAGAAAGTTTAAGGCAGTTTTTGAGTCCTTTTTTTTTTTTTTTTAATCATGTTTAAACAAAATCCTATCCTGCTTATCTTTGTTGGTTTCCATAGTCCTTGATACTATGTAATGAGACTAATAAATGAAGAAGCACGTATCTTAGTTGCACCACTGTAGTAAAGAGAGATGACAGGAAATGTCCAGGAACCTGAATCATTGAGTCAGCCACCACTGACTACTGTAATAAGAGTTCCCTAGAGCAATGGTGAGGGAATGGGTCAAGGTGAGGGCATGTGCAGGGGTGACTTTCTGACGTTGGCTGAGGGGAGGGGGCATTCCATCACTAACCACGGCTTGGACACCCATTTCCCATTAGACTGAGGTGCAAGCCTTTGCTTTTACACTTACCCTGAGATCTAAGCTTAAAACAAACAAACCGATAAGTAAGACACAAGTATTTCCTTGTTTCTTTCATTTAGCCAGGGTTAAAAATATGTAAATATCTATGGGATCAAGTTTAGCTTTAGAGTATAAGAAAATAGGGGATAAAGCAGAATTCAAGAATGCTTTTCAATTAAATAAATTCGAGTTATTTAAAACATGTTGTGTTTCAAAAATAAATAACACAGTTTAGCTCTTGTGGTGAAGAATACAGAATATGCTATCAAACTTAAGAGAGAGAATTAAACTAAGCTCTACTCCTTACTTGCTGTGGGATTTTAATCAAGATATTTAACATCTATCTGTCTTAGTTTCTACAACTGTAAGGTATTGGGTTTGTTAATACCACCAATCGAGGATTAAGTGCTGTGTGAATTAATTATAATAGTGCCCAGCATATATATACACACACACACACACACACACACACACACACACACACACACACACACACACACATATATGTTTGTGTGTGTACATTTATTTATATGTACATATATTATAATAGAGTAAATAGAATAACATATATTTAGTCTGACATAGTGATTCCTGTTATTGTCTATATCCATTGACATGACCTGGCAAGTCCGAATGTGCCTTTGAGACCACCCCCAAAAGATGCTTTGGGGGAAATCTTGTATTTAAATGCTCCGGAAGTATCTTACTTATAATACAGCCACATCTAGTTTAGAGGAAATGTTGTTGGGCTGGATAGCAGGAGTTCTGTCTTCTAGCCCCACCTGTGTCATGAATGAGCTGGCTGGCCTACATTAATCAGTTAATTCATGCCTCGGTGTCCTCAGCCAGACTTACCAATCTCACAGAGACATTATGGGGTCCCAGTTTAAGAACTGACATGCTTATATAATGGTTCCAATCATACAAAGATTTGCTGATTAATAAGAGGTCTAATAAACTATGTTTCCTTCCTCTCTTGTAGGCTCTTCAAAAACAAAGTCTTAGAACGATGTTATCATTCTAGTTTCTCTTTCTCTTTTTGCTTCCATCATATTGTTCCTAGAGTGAATGAATCCTGTTACTTCTAGTTGGACATTGTTATTATTATTGCACTTTAGGCCTGATTCAACTCAGAGGTCCACCAATATTGATCCTTGCTTTAGATCCTTACATCATTCTTTATGTTCAATGTTGTAAATAGTTAAAGCAAGATGAAGCAAAGAATAAGCCCTCAAAAAGTAAAAGGAAGCAAAGAATGAACCCCCAAGAGAGACAGTTAGAGTCTCTGCTTAAGGTCTGTAGAGGACGCAGTGAATGATGTACACCTCAGGCCTCCTTCCTCCTGTGTCCCACCACAGCCCATCTCCATAGTGGATGTTTCTAAAGCCCAGACTCATCTCATTGTGCCAGCAAATTACAGGACGAGGAAAAGTATATTCTTGATCACAAGAAAATGTTTTCCGAGACCAGAATACAGGGATGTCCACATCTTTGCCCTCTTTGCCCATCCTAATAATTGTTTCACCCCTGATATTTTGATATCATAGAGTCTATGGCTACAACTATATTAATAGTCATTATTTCAGGGTAGAATTAAGTAGTCAGGGAAGAAAATCTGATTTTTTCTAACAGCTATCAAAACAGGTATCCTTCAACATCCCTCCTATGAAGTAGGTTCTCTAGCTCCTTTCTCCCTCTTATCTTCGCATATTCCATTTTGTCCACGTTCTTTTCAAAATCTGATCCTCAGAACAGAGACCATATTCCACAAGGTTATGACTCACATATGCTACTTCTCTCCAAGACCTAGGCAATCAACTTCTATTAATACAGCCTGCATTTATGCTAGTTGTTTTAACAGCTTTCAGTAAAGGAGACTGCAGTAAAGATGACAAGATATATGTGACAAATGTCTTTCTGAAATTTAGATATGCTTATGATCTTCTCCTTTACTCTTAATGAATTCAAGCACAGAATAAATAATAATTACTGCTGCACAGTTGAGGCAAATTTAAGTCAATACATTTGAGACTTCAGCAATGAATTGACACTGGCCTGGAAAACCAATTGCAATTCATAAAGGTAAAGTTTAATCAAGAGGTCTGGAGGTCTGGAAATAAGCTGTCTAGGTAGGGCCAAATTTAGATTGAAATTATGCAGTTCTACATGGCATACCTTGTCCTTATAGACCAGTATGATATTCTATCAGGCTTCATACCACCAATACTCACCATTCTTGCAAAGCAGGACAGCCAGGAAGTCCTGAGAAGAAGAATTGATATAGAGCAAGAGGCTGGGTGTCTGGGCTGTCGCAAAACTAAATGCAATGTTTTCCTTAGATGGAGCTGACTCTGTGTAAATTGCTGAGGATGACAGGCTTATATTCTTGGTTACTGGATAGGGTTCTTGAAACATGTAAGTAACCGAAGTGCCAGCCTCAAAGAGAGCAGAAACCTCTGCAAAATATAAAAGTGGAAACACATATTAAAATCTTTAATTTATGATTCAGAATACATTAATAACTTGTTTATTGTTTCCTATGCATCAGGCACTGTGTGAGGGTTTGTACATTAATTATATGGTATGCTTCCCACAATAATTTTGAAGTGGCAGAGTCATTCTCATTTACAAATGAGAAACATGAGTCTTACCTAGGCTAAGAACCTTGAACAAGGTTGCATAGCTAGAAAGAGAGCTAGGATATGCACTGAGAAATGTAGGTCAGTTTAACATACTTTTGCAGAAAATTATCATGTGTCCAACTCATTTTTCAAAAAGCAAAAGATAAGATGTCCCTGCCTCCAGCATAGAGTAGAGAAATTCACTGAGACCATCTTACTTTCAAAATTGAAATGCTAACAGTTCTGGTTTGTGTTTTTCTTGTGTATCAAGAGGGTCTTAAGTAAGCTCTAAATTACTGAGAGCAGAACATTGAGAGAGGCAGCAGTAATACCCTGTGGTGTTTGGTGAAGAGTGAGGATCCATTGAAACAGAAGAAAGGGGGTCCATGGAAACAGCAAGAAGAGTATTAGTATTCAACTCCCAGACTCAAGTTTTCAGATGTCTAAGAATTAGTATTCAGTGCCCAAAGAGAGCAACAGCTTGGGCAAATAAGTCTTCCTATGAGAAACAATTCCTATCACATGACACATTGGAGAGAGTTCTGCCACCACCATAAAGAAAGGAAGCATCTACAAACTGATGACATTCAATTAGCGGGAATATGCAAATCCCCCAATCTTTCCTTTATAATGTCCTCCTTCCAACTGTTAGTTTAATGGAATTAGCACAGGGTTTGGCTTCAGCACTGGATCTAAAGCTTCATTGGATTTCATACTAGCTGTGTGGTCCCAGGCAAGTTAGGGAACTCTGTGAAGATTATTTTCTCATCTGGCAAATGGGAAGCATAACATAAGATCTACCTCAACAATATTTCTGTGTGGATAAATGAGTTGATGTGTGTACAGCACTTAGGAGAGTTACACAGCACAATTTGAACTCATGAACTCTCATATTAGAAGATAATTTAACCTGAACCCATCCCGATTTTCTTCATTAAATAAAAATCTGTTTATTTACTGCACATTCATCCAAATGCTGAAATATTTTCTTCTTTTAATCAAGGCTACTCTTAAGTTCACTTTCAATTTTATCTATATAGAGTATCAGGGTATGGAGTAAAAGGTCCTTTATAGAGCAATATAGATTAGATCTGGCAGCAAACATCTTTCATAAAAATAGCACAGTAAACAGGAATGTATATTGGCATAATTAATTTATTTTTTTTTCTAAATGATATGTGGGATGTTTCTAATTCCACGTGGAATTCTCTGATTGAATTGATGGCTCCTAGAACACAATTAAACCTGGCTTAACCTTTATATTTCTATTGCAAATTTGTTCTACTTTTGTGAAAATGCTATAACAGCCTGTAGAAGTGCCAAAAAAAATAGATAAAGTTGCATATTTATGCATATCGTTAGCAGATTGAGGATATGAGTTCATTTTTCTAAAGGTTCAGATTAAGAGTTTTGCATTCATCATGAAGGTTATAACATCAGTACTCCAGATTATAAATATATGAAGCAGAGTCTTATGATGGTGAAGATTCGGGTTAAATATTGACTTAATTCAAGCATTTTCCCTGAGTGAACTTTCTTGCGGACATTTAACCTGTACTTTGAGTTACTATCTCCTAGTTAACAGAAAAATGTCTTTTCTTTGATGTTTGTGTGTGAGTTCAAATGTATATATAATTTAAAGCATTCTGTTATATAACATTAAACATAGGCATATCACATTTTTTCTTTATACTTAAGACAGGAAATTAAAAAGAAAAGTAATTTTTTAGTTAGAAATGTCCTACAAAATTTGTCTCCTCCCTCTTCCCTATCCCCAGTAATTTTTGTGTTTATGTATTATCAATTTCAACATAAGGGAAATTCAGCAAGAAACCTGGATTCTATTATTCTCTCAGTTTCTTATATTTTATAAACTAAGAGTTTAAGTTCTCTGATCATATTTATGCCTCTGATTGATTTTTTTTCTGAACATCCAAAACTATTTGGATAAATAGGAGAAAAAAAATCTTAACATGAAGGTGTTTATCAGTGAACATCATGCTACTACAAGACCACAATACCAACATTAGCAATATCTCTTGAACACCTACCTGGTGGAAAAAACTGTACCGATTATATTCTGAGAAGAACACATTGAAAGAATAACACCAATGGACATAGCCTAGGGTGTGATATGTGAGTGACAGAAAAAATAATACAAAGATATCTCCATGGGTCAAAGTAGCCTAGGAAGATCTAAAAGAATTGCTCAACACTGACAAGGCCTTAAAGTGTGGAATGAGCTAACAGAAGTAGCTAGGAGACAGGGTGGTGCTGGAGAGGAAATGTATCTCTGAGCCAGCTGTGTAGTCTGATTGACCTGGAAACTGGAACCTGGCTGTGCCCTTCTGCAGTTCTTTCAAAAGATCCCAATTAATCTCAGTTTATTCAAACATAAATAGTAGTGAATTTAGCCTTGTAGTGGGTAGAAGGATTAGAAGAATATAAAATTATGGCACATAGTAGGAACTCAATAAACAATAGCTGGTCTTAATAATGATAATTAAATTTAGAATTAGAATAAACATGACAACCAATCTTGGATAATGACAAGGCTAGTGGTTACCTAGAAATCAGATCGCAATTAATTTAAAAAACATAAAATAATAAAATAAAAACAAATAGAACAATTGGCATAATATTAAACACGCATAAATAAGTTTTTCTTATAATAATGATCCTGTGGCCTTGGAAGAGACAATGATTTTCTTAGATAAAACTCTGAAAACACAAGCAACAAAATTTTTTAAAAAGGTATATTAGACTTCATCAAAATTAAAAACTTTTGTTCTTCAAAAGATCCTATCAAGAAAGTGGGAAATGGAGAAAATGTTTATGAATCATACATATAATATGAAAATTATATTCAAATTATGCAAAGAATTCCTACAACTGCAAATAAAAAAAAATGACCCAGTTAAAAAAAATAAGCAAGACATTTGAATAGATATTTCACCAAAGAAGATGTATCCACAGCGGATAAGTGCATAAAAATATGTTCAACATTATTAGTCATTAGGGAAATGTAAGTCAAATCACAATGAGATACTGTTTCACACATTCACAATAGAATGTTTATTATCAAAAAGACAGGCGATAACAAGTATTGGTGAGAATGCTGAGAAACTGGAATCTTCATACTTTGCAGGTAAGAATGTAAAATAGAGCAGCCACTTTGAAAAACAGTTTGACAGTTTCTCAAAAAGTTAAACATACAGTTATTATAATACCCAGCAGTCCTATCTCTGGGTACACATACAAGGGAATAGCAAACCGAAGTCCATACAAAAAAAGTATGGAAATGTTCTAGCAATATTATTCATAATAGCAAAATAATAATAATAATAATAACAACTGATAAATGGATAAGTAATCAAAATGTGGTGCATCTACAGAATGGAATCCTCTTTTGGAAATAAAAGAGGATGAAATACGGTCAATTCTACACATAATTAAACCTCGAAAACATGCTAATTGAAAGAAACCAGACAGAAAAAGGCCACATATAAATAAAATACCCAGACCAGGTAAATCCATAGTGACAGAAAATAGATTAGTGGTTTCCAGGAACTCAGGGGAGAGGTGAATGAAGAGTTGCTGCTAATGAGTATAGATTTCTTTTAGGGATGATGAAAACACTCTAAAATAGATGGTGATGGTTGCACAACTTCGTGAACATGCTAAAAACTCATGCATTGCACATTTAAACAAGTTCAATACCATGATATGTAAATTACATTATAATTTAATAAGAAAGAAACACAAACCAAAAAACTACGTATTTGAATTATATTCCTGTAGAGAATGAAATTAGGGTCATTAAGGAGAAAAGGAACCAATAAGATGTTAGATGGACCCTCAGCTCTGACATTTATTAATAAGTCACTAAACCTCTATGACCTTTAAGGTTCTCATATGTTAAATGTAGACATTATCGTTCTCCCTATTAGACTGGGGATGAGGAACAAATATTTCAGTCAATAATTATTACCTAAATTTATGATTATTATTTCTTTGTACCATAAGCAGAAAGAGAAAGTAGGTTCATTGTCTATGGTTCTAGCCCAGGCATAGCTAATAGATAAATGTCACTAATTCTACCCCAGATATTTCCGGTATTTACACACCCTGAAATATACATGCCATAGAAAGTTAGCATAGAAGACTGCCCCAATAGAGAGCAACCATGTTTAGGACCATCTTGTAGTTAATGGCTCCATTTCACTTCCAAGCCACGTTTCCCAGAGGCAATTGGCATGGCTAATAGACTTGGTAAAAAGGTTCATCTCACAGACTTTGGAACTGCTGAATATAAAGAGAATCATTTCTTTAGATTTATGAAATGGAGAAAGTTTGGAAACAATGAAATATGAAACAAGCTGAAAAAGCTAAGCACATATGTGTCTATTTTGCTTGTAGATCAAAATAAAAAGTGGGAAGAGAGCACAGAGGACATTTCAACAAATTCAGTCAAAAGATACAGTGGCATGTACAGAAGATAATTTATAGGAGCTGTTTCAGAGAAAGGAGCCAATGAAAAATTAGGCTAAATTCAGAATATGATCTATGAGATGTTTGAACAATATTCCTGGATAAAGGCAGAGAAGTCTGCTATTTTTTTTCCCCCAACAGAAGCCTGGGTATAGATCCTGTAAAACAATGTTAGTATACTTTAGTGACAGAGCTTGCTAGTGCTTATTCTGTATTTGCTTCTTTTAGCATGTGGGACCAGTCTAAGCGTGTCATTCAAACTTTTCAGGAAAGTTGTTTAGAGACCTCTGGGAAAACCCAGCAGCACTTTGCTTATCTTAAGTAACATTAAGAGCCTACCAGAAAAGGCCCTGATTTATTTCAAGTTCTCTTGCAGGGCCCAACACTCTGTCGGCTCTAAAATTTGTACCATTAATTTTCTCCAAAGCAAGATACTTTCCAGCAATGACAAACAAGTAATTCACGCTAACTGAGAAGGCCAGTGCAAATGGATGAAGAGTTTGACCAGCCATATCGAGCCAGTAATTCACATTTACCGGGCAGAAGGCCATTGAAGATGGATAAAAAGCTTGAATTACAGATCTCTGGAAGACAATACTGGGTGCTCCTTTCCTTATTGTTTTTAAGTTCTAACAGGAAGTTGGACTAAATAAAGCATTGTTTGGCAGAGGTGCTTGGGAAAAATGTTTTAATGAATTTACAAGAATTTTTATAGCTGCCTTTATTATTTGTGTATAAATGATGTTTCAAATGGTGATTAAAATGTTTTAATGGTTTAAACACTGCTCTTGAAATATCTTTTACATTATTTACTCAACAAATTTTTTAATCAATAAAATAAACTTTACAATTCTGTGAAGACTGATGGTAGACTAAATCTTTTGTCGTATTTGAAAAAATAGTATTTCCTCTAAAAATGAAATTTTATAGTTTGTAAAATTATCTTGAATTTATTTAGATAATTTACACTACGACCATTCATTATTCCTTGTTCAAGATGTATATCCATTATGGTTAGCTTTTGTCAATGCAATGAATTTATAAGACTCAGAGGTAGGTCTTTAAAGCCTCAGACCCCAATCACATCATCTACAGAACAGAGAGATTTTACTAGATACATAATACAGATTTTACTAATTTATCTATACTCTCCTTATTTTAAAAATGATTTAAGATGCCCTAAGGGTCTTTAATGTTCTTCCAAGACCAAATTCTATGATTCTTTGATTACATTTATGAACTGAAGAATTAAAACTGGAAGGGTCATTATACTCCACCTGATCTGGTTGACAGAGGAGAAATGAGAGTCTACGTGATACAACAGAAAGAACAGTCACTCCTCCTCGGCTGGCTCTTGGCCAAGAAGAATCTGTTACTATCTATCCACTTGGTACAATTGTATTGCCAGTTACTATCTATCCTGTTACTATCTATCCACTTGGTACAATTGTACTGCCAGTTACTATCTGGCCTGTTACTATCTATCCACTTGGTACAATTGTACTGCCAGTGTCCACACACAGTGATAATGTGTATGAATATTTCTGTTGAGGAGGTATGCAGGGTTTCTACACAGAGAGAAATTGAGGGAGAGTAAATGATAGTTTGAGGACTCTCTAAGGTCATAGGATTCTATGACTTGGTCATGGCCTGTACGTGCTAACCATACAGCACATGGTAGAACAGAAATCCATGTTGTACCTTTTTTGCAAAAGGGCCCTTCATATGGTGAATTGGTGCAATCACATAAGTATCCACTGCGCTTCTCCACACACTTGCCCCCGTTGTTGCAGATGCTGCCGTAACTACTGCAATGGCCGGGGCATCCTGGCCGGACTCCAGAAGTAACTTTTGCTCTCTCCTCCAGGTCCAGTTTCTGCCCATTCAAGTGTAAGGAGCGTATGCATCCCAGGAAGCCTTTCTGTTTTGATGATGTTCCCCCTAAGGGGTAAAACACACACACATATACACAAAAATATAAGATATTATAGGGTTCAAATTTTTTAAGTTTAATATCAGCATTGGTAACAACTGACTATTGTTCTGTTGTTATGCTGTGGTGGACTTTTCCATTGAAGTTTATGGTGAGAATTAGGAATTTAAAGAACCTGGAGAAAATGCAAGTCTTTTCAGGCTGGGAAAAATAGCCTACAACACACACCCAAAAACCTTTAAAAAGATTATAGTTCATGTAGAATACCGTACTTTATAAATTTAAGATACAAACTTTAAGATAAGAACTTGCTATGTCCTTTAAAAAAGAAATAAAAAGTGTTTTTGATCTATAGCAGACATTTATCTGAAGTGGAATGCATAGAGCTAGATTGTCCCCCTGGCAAAGTTAGAAGCAAGCCGTTAGGTTCATGGAGTTAGAAAACTACAAATTGCTTTGTAATGCACACAGCTCAGTGCATTGGACTAGAAAGAGATGAACTTCAGGACCAGATAGACATGGCCTCAAACTCCAAGTTACTAGATGATTAGCCACATTAACAACTGACTCACTTAAACCTCAGCTACTTGATCTATAAAATAAGAATAAGTCTATTTCACGTGATTACGGTAATGCTTAGCTAAGATCAAAGAATACAGTACATTCTCAATCACTGCTCTTTTCTATCCCTTCTTTTCAACCCTCATAATGGTGAGAACTGGTAGGTCATATATATAAATGCTGATTGATCTTAGCAATTACTCCCAGATTATTATTTGGAAGATGAATTTTTCCTTCTGGAATACAGACAAGGGTTGTACCCCAACTTTCTTCTGAAGGTACATCTTAAAGGTTTCAGAAAGACTTGCAATGCTCATTGAAAATTGTTCAAGATGAGAGTATATTCGAAATGATGGAGTTTTTTGTTAATGTTAGAAATTTTAGGATTCTATTAGCGTACATCTCAAAAGTCAGAAAAATATGTATTGAGAGACACCAAACCAAGAGATTAAACTAAAACCCATCAGCAGATATTTATTTTGTGTTGAGAATTCTGCAAGATCCCAGAGAAGGTATTTGACCAGACTTAAAGAGCCCAAATTCTATTAAAAATCCAGTGTTTTAAGCTTAAGTTTATGAACACGGATAATGAAGGATATTCAGGTCTTCAAGGTCTACAAGGAGCTCTAATGGGGAGGAGGTGAAGGTGTGTTGGAAAACGACAAGGGTAGAACTGGCTTGTCATTTATTTTCTCTATCATCTCTTCTTTCTGACCCTCATTTGTTTCTAGTCTTTTATATTTCAACTTCATTAAATCTTGGTCCAACAAATGACCAGATAAAATATATTCCTACCAAGGTGGAAGCAGATATAAATTTCATATGTGCTATCTTAACCTGGGAATGTAGATGTTACACAAGAACAAGAGCTGTAAGTTAAATAAATGAATATGCAACCTAAACAAATTTCTGGCATCAATTGGCCTGGCAGAGTTCTTGAGGAAATAATTGGAAATGGAGATAGTGGGAATATAGAGTGGGAATAGGAGGAATTTTGTCTTCCCTGAATCACACCAGGTCATCAGACCCATAAATACACGTATGACAGTCACTGTTTGCATCTAAAGACAGAACGTTACTAAACGATTAATCTAGTTTATTATCCTGAAGTAACAATAAAACTCCATCACATTTTCTATTCTGGTAAGTGATGCCCAAGCTGACCAATAGGTCAAACCCATACTGCATTCTGCTGTCTCTCTCAATTTTAATGAGTAAATTTCCTTTAACCACAAGACAAATCAATTATAAATACAAGCAGATCACAGAGGAGGCTTCATTATTTCTTTCTTAGAAATTGTGCAGAATAAAGAGGAGAAGATTTATGAAGTCTAATGTTTTGTTTTCTGTTTTCCCTTATTTAGTAGTCACTCCCTGTGGTAGATTTGAATAACTCTTCATATGTCTTCTCAGCAGCATTTATAGTAGAGGTGGAGAATGCAGAATCTATTGCACTTTTTTTTTTTCTGCATATGACTTAGCCAAGTTCACAAATGGAGAAGGTGGCTGGGTTGTTTCTCTAACAGAAATGCCATTCTTGAGGTTAGAGACCTATAGAGCACAGTGAGAATGACCCATAATAAGGGAGTCATTTCAGCATTCTCCTGTGCTGACAAAATACAATAAAATGAACTATAAACTAAATTTTAGTCTTTACCTGACTGCTTTTTAATCTTTACAAGAGAGAAAAACTAGAGGCTTAAGCTCCTTTTCTTTTCTTTATAAAGAAGTAATATGTAGACTAAGAATAGGATCATTCTGAAAAGATTTTTCCCACTCACACAGTCACACCCAGTTAGGTTGTCAGCACTCTTCATTTTCGGACAGTGTTATCTAGTTATTACCTGTACAGTGGCACTGGAGGTGTGAATCTCTGTATAACTTGAATACTATTGAGAAATGTAGCCACAATTTTCCCTCCTCTTTCTCACTCATATCCTTTCTTCCACTAACCAGCCCTGTGAATCTGCTCTCCCAGATATCTATGGATCCATCTGCTTCTTTCCGCACCCTGAGCCAGTCTTAGTACAATCTCCCTCACCTCACTTAAATCTCAGCAACGATCTTCTAACTGATCTTCCTACTCTAAGCCTTGACTCTGTCCATGCACTACTTTATAATCAAAGAGCTCAACCACATAAAAAAAAAATTGCCAGTACTTTTTGATACCCTACAGACAGTAGTTGTTGTCCTGAGAATAAAGCTCAATTCCTTAGATATATTAGCACAGCTGATATATTATGAAAAATTTGGCCTCCACTTATTTTTCCATCTTCCTGCTCTGACACCAGGGCGCAAGGCATTTTGAACTGTTAATGGATCTTTAATGCCCCATGGTCTGTCTTGACTTTGGACCCCTGTGTATACTTCATATTTATGTGGTATGGTATCTTTCCCCATGAACTTCACTGCTCATCCTCCTTCATCCTGCAATCACAAACACACACACCCTACATTCCTTAGTCACAAATTTTCTGCCCACCCAGTATTTAACTGGATGCCAATTTTTTAAAACAAAACTATTTTAAAAATTGTAGTAAGTCTTTCATTGAAGAACTGAGATCTGTTAGCAATGAACCTATTTTCCTGCATGCCAAAGCTCAGCTGCACTAAGGGCAGTTCCTCATGCATTGTACACCTGGCTACATTCCCCACTAGGACAACTTCAATCATTCATATCACCTTCCTGGCTCTTGCAGGTATTTGATTTTTCAACCTTTTTAACATATTTTTCTTTTTAATTGTCTGCATCTTGTCTAGAGTTTATCATAAGGTTGAAAGAACATAGCCAACAAAAAATTGTAGTATTATAATTAGGGCAGCCGAAAGTCATTTAATTGGGGTTCATACTTAATCTGCAAGCTGTTTGAGAATTAGAGCAATGCCTCTAATTTAAAAAAAATCAAACAGACATACTTGTATGCCAGAAAACTTATAATTAACTCTTTGAACACTTAATGGTAAAAAGCTATTCATATTTTCACATTACGTAGTTGAGAAAACAGTGCCAGAGACATTGCTTTGGCCAGAATCAAGAATTAAACAGATTTTACACCAGCAGAGCCAAGAACAGACTAGGGTTTCCTAACCTTCAAAGCCTGTATATCTTCACAGCCCTAAAATCCTAAAATGAACTATTTGATTAGACAATTTTGGTTGATACTACTAGTGATTCTTATGTGGTGATTCTTCTACTGTCTTCCCCTGGTTTCTTATGTGGTTTCTCTTACCAACTAACAAATACATATGCATTTATCCTCTTGGCTTCCATATCACTCTTATTGACAATTTACATCATTGGTTACATGGCTTCGCTAAAAGCAATTTTATATGAAACTCTTCAGTTGGTCCTTGGTACCCCAAGCATATTCATCATGATGATGCTTCCTTGAACTGAGTCTGAATCAAATTTTAAAAACGTGACTATTGTCATTCATAGAAAACCTCCAAGTGTCATCTAGACAAATGCTCATTGCTTCCAGAGAAACATCTCAATTCCTTGTGTCTGCCTTGAGTGCAAGTGCAAGAGCCTCTATTTCTCTTGTGTGCCCTCACTACATTTGACATGATTCACCTGAAAATAGGAATAATAATTCCCTACCGATGTGAAAGCAGAAGTAGCATTTTGGGGGATCTCTGCAACTTTATGATTTATCAAGTCAGTGTAGTATTTTCCCTAAGGAGTTATAAGTTGGGAGTAACTTCAGTTTATTTTGGTACATATAAGAAAGCTGAGCCAACGAAGCAAAAAAATAAGTTATATGAAAGATCAAAAAAGTAAGAAGTAAGTAAAGCCACACAAAAATGAGATTCATGGGAATAAAATCTTTCTAAAGTGTCCAGCACATTTGGAAAGATGTGATGTCAAATTTGGGGAGAATGAGAATTTTTTCATGCTGTTACATACACATGGGCATAAAGATAAAGATGTTGTCATTCCTAATAAACACATAAAAATAGCAGATTCTCAAGTTCTGAAAAGTTAGTTACCAGACTCTTCAATTTTATCTTGCAGATAAAGACAATGAGTATACTTAGGCTAGTTTTGTGTTCTACCAAGACCCCATGGCCTGTTGGCAGTTGAACTTGAATTTATACCTAGATCTCTTCATTTTACTCTCAGCTACGGGTGCTAGTTCTTGAGCTTCTCTTGCTTCACCTTTATAGTGACTGGCACATTTTTATGAAAGAGCAAAGCAGAGGAATGATACCACCAAGAGTGTAAAAGATAGGACAACTACAACTTTGCAGCATATATTTCAGAAGCTACAGTTATGAATTTTCCCCTACTCTGTTAAAGAAATGTGACCAGTGAAACAGCATGGTTGCAAATGTAACTATAATGGTGATAAAAGCCTGAAGTTAAAGTATTTTTTCTGGGAATCCAGTATGCATTGACTTGTGTTTTAGCACTTCAACTTGTCACATTCTTATAGCAGGGGCAATATTAAAGGTACATCCTATCTGTAAAATCACCCCATTTTTGGCACTCAGGGAACACTCATAAGAACAGCAGCAATGTCACTGATTACAATGGTGAATGATGCTCTGTTTTGATTGAAAGATAGTTCAGTGGCTAAAGGTATCTATCCAAATTAATATTTAAGTACTGCCACATTCTATTGTATTAGTAAAGAAGTACATATCAGTGACATCTTTTTCTGTCTAGTGAATAAAAATATCCAGTTTCTCTAAATTTCTGAATGATAGGAAATGAAATTCTTAATTTTGTCTGCTACAACCAAGTAGAATTTTTTGTTATTGCTTTTCTTTCTGTTCTTTTTTTGAATCACTAAATTATAAAAATGGAAAAATTGTAACTTCAGCTTTTTCAGCTACCTGCTATTTCTAAATGGACATATCTCTGAATGCTAAATAACAAAATTTAAACCAACAGACTAAAATGAACTTCAGCAGCATTTTTTTCTTTTTCAAGTACATTAAGACAAATTCAATAAAGCAGAGTAACACCTGAGATGGAATTTATTGGAAAGAAGCATAACAGAAGCAGGTGCTCTCTCCACAGATGACCTGGGCTTCACCTCTAGCAAGATATCTCCTCTAGACCCACCCACATGCTCTTACAACTCATTGTCTTTGTGATCAATTTTATTGAAATGTCTGGAAAAAAACCTGCCATGAAACACAGCTGCCTCTTTTCCCTGTTGACTTGCAGAAAGCTTATCACATATTCAGGATATATGATAATTTTATATCTACATGAAATTTGCATGAAAGACTAAAAATTTATCCCATCTTTATATATACATTTTAGCCTGAAAGATTCATAAATAATTCCTGAAGATAAATTAAATTTTGGCATAAATATAATTTATGAAAATTGAGAACTACTTGAATTGATTTCACCAAAAAAAAGATTTAAATCTTGATGACTAGCAAACTTTCAGAGAAATAAAATGTGTTGTTTAAATAGGATTAAAACAGCATCATAAATTTAAAATATTTTAATAGTAAAACATATCACTTCTGTAGGTTATTAAGTAAATACCTTATAATAATAAAAATGTTTTAATCACATATCTTAGCTTATGAAATGAAAAATATGAAATAAATGAAGATGAAGAAAGAAATATGATTCCTATTGAGAAGAAAGAATATGACATATTCTGTTACTTCTTTCCCTTTAGCTCGTGTGCTTTAGTGATGACAGTACTCAGAGTTAAAAGTTTTACAAACCCCAATTTAAAGGAAGAAAGTAAGGATCACCCATTGATTGTTGTCAGTATTTCATTACCACTAGTAAAGCCATGTAGTGTGAGAGTTGTAGTTTGGTAACTTTTGAAGCTTGTTTATATTATTGTTCTAAGAATCTGCCCTTCCAAGTTTTATGTAAGAGCAGCTTCTTGGACTTTCTAATACAATATCCCTAAACTTTATAGCTCTATTTTGTACTTTAAAGCTTTATGAGCCCTACTCAACATATTTTCAAAAAGTCCTTTCTAAACTATAGCTATAAGGCTGATCTTTCCTACCTGGACTAATGTGGCTAAATTCTCTCTCTGTCTTTGGTGAAATCAATTCAAGTAGTTCTCAATTTTCATGTATGTGTCTTGTATGTGTCTCTGTCTCTCTCTCTTTTCTCTCTCTATTACTGGTGACTGAAATCCCTTTTAGATGGTGGAATGTATTTCATAAAACTGT